CCAAACCAGGTGTATTGGATTCATACAGGGGGTGAAACAATAATAATAATTTCTGGAAGATTGCTGTTACCCAGACCAGGCGCCTTTGCAGCAGGAGCTGGAGAGCTGCAGGGTGCAGGGCTCGGTCCAAAGAAAACCCCAGCTGGCTTTGAGCTGTGGGTCCAGTTTGTATCCTGGCCCCGTGGGGCTGAGAGCTGCTGGGGTTGCCAGCTGCCATGTCAGGGTTCAGCTTTTGGGTGGGTGTTGCTGTTGTTTTTAAGCGAGGTGGAGAAGGGATTCTCCCCATGGAGATGCTGCTGGGCAAGCAGAGCAGAGGGCTGCCCCTCCAACAGCTCCGTTTTGGGGAAGGGCTGCTTCTTGGGGGGGTGTGAAATGGAGCTGGGGAGAGAAGGAAGGAGAAGGGGTCTGTTTTGGTACCCCTCCATCCCAGCCCTCCCGTCGGTGTCCTCCCTCTTGTCCTGGGCGAGGAGGCTGGAGACCTTCCCTGCAGGCTTCCCACGGGAAATGGCAAGGCTGGGGCCAGTGGGACAATTTTTACTTTCCAGTGGTGGCCAAAGGCACACGTGCTACTGGTGCTACACGGGGAGCTTGTTATCTTCCTTCACGTTTTATCACCAGATACTTTGACCCACGGGAAGGTGCTGGGTCTTCTTGTGGCTCATCAAGGAGTGATTTCTCTGCTCGTGGGAGTATTTCTGCACCCTTTTCTGTTCCTTCTTGAGCTGCCCAGTTTCGTGGTGCTGGGTGCTCTCATGGGGAACCGGGGAGTGGCAAATGCTTTCTCTGAACCCTGACAGCTCCCTGGATATAGAGGCACAGAGGGAATTCATGGCAGAGATGAGCATCACTTGCTGTGCGTTAGGAACGAGGCAAACAGTGAATTTAGAGAATGGCTGTTCTGAGGCAGTATCAGAGCTGCCTCCTCAGTTATACGGTCGCTGCTGTGAACGTGTTTTGGCAATTGGTTGTTTCCAGCTCTGCTTTTTAGTAAGGCTACTTAGCGCTTCTCTGCTGGTTTAGATCTTCTCCTCAGCTGTTTATAGTTGTGTTATGCTTAGCAGTATTTGGGATTAAATTTTTCATGTTGCAGGTTGTCTTGAGCTGTTTGATTTTTCTCCTCCCCCACCTGCCACTGTATTTTATTTTATTTTATTATTTTATTTTATTTTTAATTCAACTTGGTACTTTCTGTTGTTTTGCCTGTGTTAGTATTTCCCCCTGCTCTTGCCGCTTACTAGTTCACTCTCAGAAGCCACCGTTGGACTCTTCTTTCCACTGCCCTGCCTGGATTTTCTGGCTCCTTCAGCCCTTCCCAGACTTTTTATTGAGCCTTGCAGTTCATAATTTGGTCCTGATCCCCATCCCCTGAATACAGCACTTTCCTCTTCTGTGCTGCCTGAGGGCTGGCACCTCCATAGGTGATCTGGGGGGTCTCTGTAGCCCCTCTCCTGTCCAGTAACTTCAAGTTTACTGACCACCTTGTGCAGGGCTAATGCCAAGGACATTGCTACTTGTTTCAGCATGGCTGGGGCATTGCAGGATTGGGCTTTGCTGCCGTGTTCTTGCATTGCCACCCGCTCACCCTGCCTGTCCGGGGGCGGGGGGGGCATGCAGGCTGTGAGGGGATGGGGCATGTTCACAAAGGGGTTGCAAAGTAAAACCCAGTCTACCAAGAGCATGGAACGTACACCCCACGTCTCCCCGAGGGTGCTGGTACGGCTGGGCATGAGGGTACTTACATGGAACCAGAAGCAGCAGTTTCTTGACCCCCAAGTCACTGCTGTTCCAGATTTCAAACCCAGGTCCGTATCGCAGGAGAATTTCAGAGAGAATGGCTTTCTAATCTGGACCAAAAAAAAAGGGCTTTTGCTATTACTGAGAAATGTGTGGGATGTCTTTGGCCAGAAAATTCGTCCTCCAATTCAGCTCAAGGAAAAAACCCAATATGGGAAATGTCACCCTAGATAAGTAAAACCCAGCCAAGTTCTGAACAACCTAAAGCAAAACGCTACAATGGAGAGCTCGGAGCTATCTTAATTGCCTGGAGCACTACCGTTCATTCCCCTGCCTGTCTGGTACGTTCTTGTGCTCGTATGGTCACTGTTAATTCATGCTGGATTGTTCTAATTAACGCCGATGAACTGTTCAGCCAAGAAGACTGCGGAGCTCTGCAGCTGCAGAGAGGGCTGGAGGAACATCTCCTGGTTTCTTTTTCTGTCTTTCCCTCCCTTGTGGACAGGCACCGTTTCTGCCCGTGGCCAATAGGAGCCAATTTTCTGTTTCATAACAGGAAAATACTAATGTCAGGACGCCCTCCTTACCCAAAGCTTTCTCCTTGAAGATTGCTCCTCTTTGCTTTCCTAATTGCTGCTGCTCAGCTGGAGGTAGCGCGCGCTCCTTCCAAACACATTATTTTGTTATGCTGTTACTTACCAAAGGGAAAAAAGAGCATGAGAGAATATTGCTTTGCGTTGAGCATTCCTTGTTTTAACCCTTTCTGTGCAGATGTGGGACGTTTTTCTCTAGCGTGGGATGTTTTGCCATTGGCAATACACACTTTTTGGTCTGAAGCTGAGGGTGTGATGGAGCTGTGATGTGAAGAACACCCAGAAATCATTCCTGCTGGAGTCTGAGGATGCCCCTAAACTGTGTGCTCTTACTAAAGCGTCCTCTTTGGAGTTGCTGTGCTCACATAACTGTCACCTGTAATAAGACAGGAGTTGCCGAATCGGTGTGAAGTGTTGGTGTTTTGGGGACCAAAATGATTTGGGGTCAGGTTGGCTGAAAACTTAATGCTTGGAGTTACCCTTCCTTGAAGACTGGTCTGGAGCCTGCAAAGAGCAAAGCCTTGAGGAGGGTGCTGGAGCCATGCTCCATGTATTTCTGAGGGACTGAGAAGTCGGATGGGGATCACAGATCACAGTTTGGCTCACTGCGTCCCTGCTCTTGGCTCATGGGCTGTGCTCTTGCAGCAGAATTCACAGAAATGCTGTTTTCTTCAGAAATGAGCAGGTCTGAGGATTTTGTGTGCCACCCCACTGATAGAGGCAGGGTGGGTTACCATCCTGGCAGCCAGGGCAGGTTACCTGAATCCCTTGGGGCTCTTTTTAGGGGGGAAAAAGCCAAACAGTTGCCTGGAGTAGAGCTAGGATGGAGTAATGATGTATGTGGACACAAGGCTGCTGGGAGAGGCGTGCTGTCCAGAATTTCCTAGTGGCATGGAGGAAAGGAGCTCGGGCAGAGCAGGGATTGTGGAGAGAGCTGCAGAAAGCAAAGTTGAAGCCTGAAGATTAACCCCATAAGTTTGGAGGAACCGTGCAGAGCCAAAAGAGCAGCCTTTTGTTTAGTCTCTGAGCGTACTCCTGTGGCTTCAACCTCAGAAACCACGTTGTTTAACCACTGAAGGAAAGGGGAGTGGGGGTGTCTCTGCTCAGGCTCTGGAATTCATCTCCAGCTGCCTTTCAGTGACCAGGGTTGCTTTCTGCTCCAGCTCATCAACATCTGGAAAAGAAAAGGGTGGATTAAGTATTTTCCCAACATATCAGGAGGGTCTCATCCTATTCCTGAGCTGTGTAATGTGCTCCTGTCCGGATCCTGGGCACCTGCCTTGCCCATACCTTCATTTTTGCTGGCTCCACCAAGAGAAATAGTTGTGGTGGTGTCAGCCTGGTGGGTGTCTCTAGCCAAGCCTCTCCTTAGTCCTGCCTTCCTGCTGCTGGCACGAGGAGAAATGTGGGGGTTTCTGGGGTACGTGTTTGTTTTATGGAAGCTACTTGTTTACAGTTTGAGTTTGGGTGCTGCTCCAATACCCGGGGCAGATCAGGGCAGAGGCAGGGAGATGTTTCATGAGAAGTGGTTTCTGCCCCACCTGGTCTCTTCCTTTGTTGCAATGGTCGGATCTGCAACAAACCAGCAGTTACAGGTGGCAGAGTATTTCACCTCTAATGAAGCTCCAGCGAAGAGGGTTTTTAGTCCCATGGGAAGCGATGATTCAGCTCCCAAGGATCATGCAAGCTTGAGTAAGTGCCAGATGTGCTTAACATGAAAATCACAGTTAAACATGGAGTCATCTACCTCCTTGGGGAGGTCCAGCTCTCCTTGGAGAGTTTTCTGCTGCCAGATGTCTTCAAGTCTGGAACTGCAGGTATTTGCAAGTAGCCCCAGGATTCAGAGAGAAGCAGAATCTTGTTTGCTGTGTGGTTTTCTCCATGTATCTTAGTTAAGAATAGATAAGGCATGAGGATACTTATTTCCCCCACCCCCCTTATCTCAGATGATTGTAAAAAGGTCTTCTCTTTTACCCTGTGTTGGTTGCACCTGAGTTTGCAGATGGGCCAAGTTAACCTGAACAGGAGGATCTCTTCCTCCAGAAGAGGATCTGAGGGGTTGAGGTTTGCCAGGTCTTGTGGTGGGTCTGAGCCCTTCTTGTTGGGGCAGTGCTGATGCCAACAGCACGTCCTTTGGGGCTGGCGTTGTCCTCTGAAGTTGTGCAATGTGGCTTGGATGGGCAGGCCCACGGGTCACAGCTGCACGCGTTGGGTGCAAACATTCAAATCCAGGTTGGTCTTCCATTTGCAAAACCCAGCAAGTGGCCTTGGCAAGGGGGCATGTGAGTGGTCGGTGGGCTTTTAGGAGTGTGTTTGGGTGAGGAAGAGCACAGGAGGGAGCGTGGTGGCTCTCCCTGTGCTGCTGGTTTGGCTTCACAGCAGTGGGGGTGTGGGCAGCTCAGCTTTTGGGCGAGGGGGGATTCTCATAGCCTGCAAGCATGAAGGCAGGAGCTGTAAAGCCAATGGTGTGGGCAGCAGGTCGAATGCATTTTATTTTTTTTTCCTGGTTGCAAAGCCTTTCTTCCCTTGTTCCCCTCGTTTCAAGAGCTGATATTGTTGTCTAATCCACATGGCTAAAATTCTTCTGTGTTAGAGGATCAGCTTTTCAGTGGGAAGTCTGCTGTATTTCTCTCTAATATTGACTGTCTTTCTTTCTCTTGTTTCCCTTCTTAGATCTACAATGAGAACAGAAACCTGTTTGAAGTCAAAGAGAACGTGCCCAGGAAATTGGTGGAGAAGGTCGCAGGGGACATCGAGAGCCTCTTGGCCAAGAAAGTCCGGGCTTTAAAGGTAAGGTGAGGGGCCCGTGTGCTGATCCTTTGTCTGATGTGTTCAGTTTAAAGAAGAGGGTTGGTGCTGGTATATCATCATGAGCTCAGCTTCAAAGTAATTTCTATGGTTGTGCAGCCTTTTCTGGGAACTGCATCATACATACGGAGTATGTGTGGGGTGTGAGGCAAGGACGTATCATGTGAGGATCTACTATGGGTATCTTCCTGCTTTTTTACCTTCTCCCACCGTCTTTGTGAACACCTGAAGATGCTGCCACAAGAACACAAGCGACAGCAAAAGCCTGGCAGCAAATTTGACCCAGTCATTTAACTGGGGGTGTGGTGAGCTGGGAGCGAAGATGCTGTGGTGTCCCTGCTATAGCTCATGGAAGTGGTTTCAGACAAGTTTCAGACTAGTAGGGTTTTTTTCCTGTTTAGGAGAGGATGCACTGAAATTTTTGTGCTGGTGCCTGGCACTTGAATCCTGTGACTGACTGCGTGTGTGAGATGCCCTCGTGGGTGCCGGCGTATATTTCCAATCTATCGTCCCATTTTGTAGCACTCCTTTTAAAATGAATTCATTTTATCTGTGGCAGAGCAAGGTAACCAGCTCATGGTTACAAGCTGGCAGTGGGGCCATGCTCTGCTGCTGGGGCAGAGACAAGTAATTGTCTTCCTGGAGAGATGGAGATGCTCTCTCTGCTGTAGAGGGGTATGGGAGCCATGTAAGGGTTTCCCTTCAATAGCTGTAGTGTCCTCTCCGTGACTGCGGTGAGCAGGATGAAGCTGTGCGATGGACATCTGGCATATCTTGCAGCTTGATTAACTAGAAGTGCTTTTGTGGGGCCAGAGATGGGGAGAAGGCTCGGAGCAGGTAGCATAGCTCTGGTGTCTGCCTAGGGACTGTAGACAAAAAGACTTGGTCATCCTTCATCCTGAGCAACAGAGGAGAAAGTACCATGGTGAGGGAAAAGGTGTTGCAATAACTGAGGTGTACCTAAGGCGGTGAGAGCTTCGTAATGACCTGTCTCTGTAGTACTAATAACCTTCTTCTTCCAGTTTGACTTTGTTTTGTTGGGTTTTGGGGCAGGACTGGTTGGTGCATTGTTAAGGGCTCACCTGATGCTGGACCCAATGTAGAGGTGTGATTCTGGCAGCCCTGGTTAGATAAGGAGCACCTGGTGTTGTTTTATTGTAGTGCAATCAATGATCCATTGACCTGAATTAGTCCTTTCAAGAGGACTCCTTCAGAGCCCGGTCGCAGGATGGAGCAGTCTCTTATATCCAGTTTGCATGTAAATTCTTGGCATCTTGGGTTGGTGGTACTGACAACAAAATCTGGAAGTTGATGGGAGAAGGAGAAATAGGATCTTCTGAATTTCTTCCATGTTGTGCTAAGCTCTTTCAAAGAAGTGGGGCCCCCACAGCTTTTTCCACTCTCCAGCCTGTGTTTTCTTCTGTCTCAACTTTCCCTTTAGTTGAATCATCTCTCCTGGAGTCGTTTCTTCCCCTTCTCTCATGACTCACGAGAGTGATGATGACTTCTTGAAATGTATTTTTCAGCATCTGAGTCAGGTGGGAATCCATGTATCACTGAGGGCAGGTGAGGAGAGAGAAACGGATCCTCTCCTTGAGGTATGAATTGCCACGTCACTCTTGTACTCACTCTGCTGAAAAGATGCCTCTCTGTTTTCTTTGCTCCGGAAGGGAGAAGGGATATTTTCTGTGTTTTGGTGAGGCTTTGTAGGGAGATGCTAGCTAGCCTTTGGGCATGCATGATGGACCTACATGCTTCAAGAGTACCATTCTGATTAGGTGGTGATTCAGTCCAGCCATCAAAGAGCCTGTTTTCCTCTGTTTCTAAGTGAAAATATTAATGTGTTTCTATTAAACTGCATGCAGAGCACTTACCAATAATACATAGTTTCTTAACTTGTGTGTTGCATTTCTAAGAAGCAGAAATCAAGCACAGGGAAGCCAAGCTCGGCTGTCTGGTGGCCCTGGCAGCCGTGGTGCAGCTCTGTGGCACAGGTCTGGCACTAGTGGGACACTCTGATTTCACACGTGCTTTTCAGAGGAGTGCCAGAGCCTGGGGTGTGTAGTAAAGGGGGTAATTGCTTCCTAAAATAGCAGTCATCTACAAGGGGCTGGTTATTTGGATGCTGTCCCTCCCTTTTCATTCCAGACCATCATATCTGCTGACAGTCTCATTGTGGGACAGAAAAATTCCTAGGAAGATCTTTTTGCAGTCCCCACCTGTTCCAGCTGGCACTAGAGAAGAGCATCTACGGCTGGAACCAGGGGGACTTTCACCCTGTGTCCCATGCAGGAACTTCTTTTTGACATGGAATTTTATCACCATTACCTACCCTTTTTCCCCAGCATCCTCCAATCTCCTTTCTCCTTGATGATTTCATGGCTTCAGGTCTGCCCTCACAGACCTGTAGTTCCAGCTGCCTTTTATTCCCAAGCTTTAGCAGGAGGGGAGGTAGAAGAGATGGTCTTAATTACCAAAATTACAGCTACCGTCCTTTGAAATGGAAGTAAAAGATATTGCTAAGGTGGAGTAACTCCTGAAGGAGATGGCATTAAATTTATGCAGCATATTACATTGTGGGGAAGTTCCAGGGACTCGCTGCAGGTGAGGTGTAAGGAAACGGTAGGTGTGTTCTCAACTGGGTAGAAGTTTAAGGGCTGCTCTCGTCCATGCTCATGAGCTTGCCCTTGTTAGGGCTAAGACAGACATCTTCCTTCAGGTGTGGAAAGGAGCGAGGTGGTGGCAGGTTGCCAAATGACTACAAATCCCTGTTGTGTTTTCCTTGTGCTGGGAATCACAACTGGCTGGCTCCTGGATCAACATCATCTGAGACTAGAATTCAACAGGTTGGTTGTTTGCCAAATAGATTCTTTTGCCACTTTTTTTTCATTTTACTTAAATTTCCTATCTCTTCTTCAATCTCTCAGTGCGATTGGACCCCTCCTTGCCTTTCTATGTGCCCAGAGATGGGTATCTACAGGCTTGGGAGTCAGTGAGCTTGTTCAGGAGATCAGCTGTTGGATTTTGCTGCTGGTTGAACACTGAGCAAGCCAGGGCAAAGCCATCACTGGGGATGGGCATGGGGTGGCTGCCAGCTCTGGATTCCCGAACCCAAGGAGCATTTTTCTCTCTTCCCTTTTCTTTTTTTCTCTCAGTGTAGGCTGTTGAGGAGAGCCAGGCTCCTGACAGCAGTGACAAAACCTTCCTTTCCTCTAAAGCCTCCATGGCTGTGTTTGGTGAGGTGGGTGAAGGTGAGCCCGTCCTCTCTAGAAAGGAAAGGAAGCAGCAAAGATAAGAGGCACTGGAAAGAGCCTCCCTTGCTGTCAAATCCAGCCCCTTGCCTTCTCCATGTGCCCAGAACACAAAGGCATCTCTTCCCTTCCCTGTGCTGTTTGCCTTTCCCACTTCACGCTCTGCCTCCAGACCCGGGCTGCTCCTTCCTGCCATGCCGTGTCCCTAGATGCCCCAGCTCTACCCACTGCTTGTGGCCACCAAGGAGATGTTGGCAGCCCAGCCCTGCTTCCTCACCTGTGCTGGCAACACCAAACGGTGTGGATCAAAGCGAGAGGGCAGCGAGGGGGCTGCTGAGGTGATGAAAGGCTTCAGAAAGCGTCGGTACAAGCGGCTGAGGGGTTGCTGCATCATTTCTGCTGTGCAAGCCCAATGCCTCAGGAAATTCTTCTATTGCCACAAAAGCATCTCTGCAGTAAAAAGGCGGTGGGGGAACAGAAGAGGAGGTCATTGCTTGTGGTGAAGGATCTAGGAGGGTTTCCCCCTGCCTCCTTCAGGTCTATGGACACCCCAGATCTGTTTCTTTTATAATACTAGGTGAAGTGCATGAACGATGCCTCCGAGTCTATCCTTTCCTAAAGCTCCACAGACTGGGGGAGAAGGGAGCGAGTTGTGATTTGATGGAGGAGGAGGGTGAGAGATGGAAATTTTAGATCCTAGGGTATGTTTTAGGCTTGTTTCTACATTTTATACAGTTCTTGCGAAGGCTGCTTTTTGCGTGCTGACTGCTTCCTCCTTCACATATTTAACCACAGACAATTTGCTTTGCCTCCTGCGAGCGGCACATCCCACAGCTTACTGAGTGGGTTATGCCCTGAAGGGAGCTATTCATACACCATGACCGACCTAAGGACTGATGTCTGTGCTGGTGGTCTTCCCCCATCTCTGAAAAGAGACCTCCCTATCCATAAAACATGGTACGAATGTCTGGTACATGGGATTCCGGTGCCATGGCTGGGCTGGTATTTTTTCCAAAGAGCTGTTTTAGTTTTGCATATTGTAATCACCAGCCAAGTTAAGGTGAAGTTGGTTATATTTCTGCTGGAGCTCAGCTGTGTGCAGTGTTGAATACAATGCATTGAGCAGAGGTGCAGGAAAGTGGCATTTCATGTCTCAGAGAATTTATAGTGTGTGTGTTTCATATACTTCAGTGCACCTTGCGTGACTGGCAATGAGAGAACGAACAGCACTTACTACTAGTTAAGAGAGAAGCTCGTGGGGTTTTTCTGTTGTTGTGGAATTTAACTGCGTATTTTTGTTGCTATGTATTTAGCTCTAGTGTGTGATGAACATTTGGGGGAAAGGAGAGGTTTGGTAGGAGGGTTCAATGCTCCTGTTCCTTCAGCCAAGGTGTAGGAGTTCACAATGTATTTCACTGAAGACTTTGAGATCTTTCTGTAACAAGAGCAGGAAAACCTACACTTGGCATTAGACGTTTTCTTTTGGCAGAGAAAGGAATACAAAGGACAAGACTCTGGGGATTTTCTGTGTTTTTAAAGCATACTGCAGGGACGTCTGGCTGGGTTTCTTGTGAGTACGAAGCCTGGATGAACATGGCTCTAGGAGTTTGGGGCATTCCCATCTTCTGTGGCCTCGGATTCTAGGGGAAGGTGGCTGAAAGAGCTGGGATATGGTGCATAGTGAAGAGGGTTTATCTGGAGATGAGTAAGGCTTGGGTTTTCTTACTGCCT